CCTGCCACGTCGTAACCATCCTGTTCCCTTCTTCTTTCACTGTCCTACGATGGCCACCTCGTAAACTCGAGCCAACGCGCCCACTCGTCACCGCGAACAGGTTCCGAACCGTACGCCGCGCTTCCTCTTTCGCCACTCTCGCGGACCTCGCCCATCTCTCGCTCCGTCTAATTATTATCATCGGGTCGATCGCGTACTTCACACCTGTGTGAATGAGCCCGCGCTCGCAGCAATGCGATTCTTACGCACGTGCTCTCGCTTCGTTTCCATCTCGCGGTCAAGAAACCAATCGGTTACGTGATTTCGCGTCTCGCGCGTCCTATGCGCTCACGCTTCCACCCCTTTCACGCCTTCGCGCGTTCCTATCTAAACTCGGTGTCATCCAAACATACGGCCGGTAAACTTGGCGTCATCTAAACATACAGCCGGTGGCAGTTCTGATCCTTGAGCGGCCCGAGGCTAATGATTATTTTGGGCGTGAGAGTTGAGAGCGAAATGTCGAAAGGTCTAGCCAGGTGGATGTTTGTCAGATCGATAGGAGATGTAGGTTTACGTCCGCAGGTCCTTTGGCCAGTCGGAGTACGATGTTCACTTAGGCGAACGTTAACTTTGCTTTGTAGCAACCAAGATACGAACGATGTCTCGTTTACTAGCTCGCCATTTCTTGCGTCTTCTCCGTCTGTGAAATTAAATAGTTTCTGTCGTGTTTTCAGGCAAGTTTAATCATTTTCAAACTAGAGGCGGAAGTAACGAAATAATCGAAGAAACACCGACCTATGTGTCTTTCGCTGAATTCATAATTTAAAAATAGAATAAATCAGCGAATATTTGATAAAATATTGAGCATACCAGTCGGCTTTCTTATTGGACTATTTACGACGAGAAGTCCAGAGTTAGGAAATTCTACGCGTGGGAAATCGCTAACGTCGAACGCGAAAGAAAAACTCGTAACGCCGGACAAGTTTGCTTAATCGTCTTATATTTCAAGGCGCCAGGATCTCGGGTTTACTCTGTTACTACGAACGACCCGTCGAGTATCCCGAGGGCCATTCATAAAAATTCGTCGCAGCTCACAACGAAAATCTACTCGATACTTTTAACGCGCGTGATCCTGCCAACTCGCATAAACGCACTTGCGTGTCATTCGTTCGAATTCGCGGACAGAATCCATCAAGCGTCATCGAAGCCGATCAATATCATTAGGAAGAAGCAAAATCGTCGACGATTTTTCAATCCTAATCGACGAAGCCAAAGTACTCGACGAATTGCTATAATATTCCAACGCTTCTAGTTGTCTGATCCTCCTACGTTTATAACGCGTTAACCCTCAAATACCCTAATTATTTGCCCATCTATTTCCATTTATCGCGGCAGAAATTACACGAAACCGTAGTAGACACTGGTCGAAAGAGAAGAGAGGAAAAGGACGCATCGAGGACGACGTCGTTCGCCTCGCCTGGCGATTTCCATCGATCGAAATGGAGATCCGCGCGCGAGAACGCCACGATAATGGATCGAACGATGCGTCGCACTGTGTGCACGTGTAAGCAGGAAGATGCTGCGCGTAAAAAGGCCGGAGGGGTGAAAAAAGTGCATGAGAAAGGGAGAGAGCTCCCACACACAAGGGTGCTGGCCGTTGTCTGCCATATGGCCCCTCTTTTTTTAACCATCCCTGTACGGCTTTCTTCCCACACGACAAAGGTAGCCACCCGCGTGTGCGTGCACGTGTGTGTTTACAGCTGTACGCGCGGCTCCCGTAGTTACCGGCTTCCTCGAAAGTGAACAACCTCTTTCTTCCCTTCCTTTTTCTTTTTTTTTTTTTATTATTTTCTCTTTTGTTTGCGCTATAAGTCGTAACAAAAGTGAGCAACCAGCGGGAGAGCGTGGCGTCAGGTGAATCCACTCTCCGTACACGCGTCTCTCTATCGTATCTCTGTCTGTCTATCGTCTTCTCGCAGCGATAGACGATTTTGTCCGGATACTTTGCGCGAAAGGGATAGGAATAGTTTAACGTTCGTAGTAATTTCAAGCGGAGGGTTTCGTTGAAAATTGCAATTTCTGCTTTTAGACACCGGGTTCAACGCTTCGATTTCTATTTTTGCCGGTCGAGGGGATTGTGCGGTTTCCGCGGGGCGACGGAGAGCAGGATAGGTATGCAATGGAATAGTTTTACCGATTTAAATGAAGTTCCGCGAGTTGCAGCTCGGTTTCCAACAGATTTATCGGAACTCGTTTCCCCGTGCAATCGAAATCCAGCGATCCTGTCTGTCTTCCGACCGAGTATACGCCGTCTTTAAATATATATATTGGTAACGGTGGAAAAGCGATATGATTTTCACGATTAGTCCCGATTAATGCCAGTCGTATTTTACGAATTACCAACAGCTCGACGCCGCCAGCCAGCGTCTCGCTTATCGACCATACGTTTGTCCGACTCGCTCCTCGAACGGCCAATTTGCTAGCAAGGCGCTGAAACGTTTCGGATGTTCTTTCGCGTCGAGACAGGAACAGGTCGGTGCTTTTCTTCCAACGAGTCAATAAGATTAGCAACAACCGACTGCAGAATGCCTTTCGAACGTGATGCAAATTCATAGTCAATATCCTTAGCAGTAACGAACCACTGCGCTCTTTCGTACAATCGCATATTTTCCTTTCCCTTTCCGTAAATACAATAGAAGCGTCGTAGCTTCCCTACTGCTCCTGATTACCTCAAAGTTAAGCTTCCGAGTTTTGTCCCGTAATAACCGTTACCCGAAAACCTAAGTGTTTACACAGGTCATGTTTATGTTCCGTTCTCAAAGGAAGCAGACGAAAGGTACCAGCTCAAAGAGGATTGCACCGATGCGTCCACCAGGTGCATCGAACTTTGCACGCTGATTCGAACATGTTCGCGTTGGCCGATGGAAAACTTCTCTTCCACGTTTCTCATTTTAAATTCTCCCGCCTCGTTTCTCAGTTTTTCCTTCCGCTCTTCGTCTTCTCCGCGCACGCTCATCCGCCCCTAATTGCGGTCAATCCGCGCACCTTTGATTCTAACGCTTCGCATCTTTCAAAGCGCCAGCGTCTTCCTCGGACCGGTAGACGAGGCTACGTATATTTATTCGACGAGATGAAAATCGGAAAATGTAAAAAAGGAGAAAAGGGTGACGGTTTGTAGCGTCTAGCCGGAGCTGCTCCGTTCGAATCTCTCCTTCCGTTTAATTAGCAGCCAGATTCCTCGACGAAGGCCAGATGAAGGGTGCTGAAATATCGTTTCTTCGTTCTTCGTCTCTTTATTTCGACGTTGGTAGGGGCGACGTTAAGAAGCCAACTACATTTCCCTTTCTACGCTCTGCTCCCCCGTGCTTCTTCCAATTTTCCATCCCCCGTCCGCCCCCTCCTATTCTCTCTTTTTCTCCCGACGATTCCGAGTGCTCGGGGTGCCGGACCCTTCGTTTAGGGCACCGCAGATGCCGCGCGCCCCGCTAGATTACGTTCCATCGGTTCTCAACCTTCTGCTGCGCGCAGCGTAAACCTAACTGACGACACATTCGCTCCGCGCGGTGCAACCTCGCCGATTCTTCCATCTTTTATTTCCATCGGATTGTCCGAGTCATCTCCGATATGAAAACCACCGTATTTCAATGGCCAAACGTGTCGTTAGCGGATCGAGGAGTTCCACGCGCTCGCAGGAAGCTGATACGCGGAAAAATCGCAGCCTAGTGCGAAAATACCTAAAACGTGCAAAGTACGGCGCTTCCCGGCAATACTCGGCAAAGCGGTCTTTCACCAAGGTTCTACCTTTCTAGACGCGCGTGAATTTGCATGAAAGTGCGCGGTCTGGTCATTGCTATTGAGATTCGAAAGTACCGGAACGAACAGCGTACGCACAATTCGCGAAAATGTATAAAATACTCGGAATAGTCTGGGAATACTTAGCGATTCCAATGGATCGTCGTTTAGGTTCTGTTTGTTTAATTCTGTTTGGAACTTCGATCAGCGATCTAGTCGTGCGAGTATGAAATTGCAGATTTTTGCAATCCTTAAATTCGCAGGTACGAGGTTATTTTAACGATATTCCTGAGGCCCTTCCGCCGAGAATATCAAGCGTGGTGATATTTGGATAAGTTTGAACGATGCCACAGTGCGAGCTAACTGGATACTTCAGATACTTTGGCTATTCTAGCCATATTCCTCTTCGCGAATTTGAATCGCACCAAGTATAATTCTACACGCGTGCAATTTTACAAATATACGTATAATTTTACATCCTATTTTTCCTTTGCTACATTTTACTGTACTTTGGTACATCCAGGAGTTAGGAAACGAAGAAACTGAACACAGATGGCAGACAATTCCTAGAACGATCTTCCCTCGATAACAGTCGCGCGCCTCGAAGATACGTCTTACTACGCAATACCGCGGTACCCTCCATCCATCGTCTACTTTCCAAAGAGGAAATCCTCCTCCTTACCGAACATACTCTACCCAATATTCTTCCGCTTCTCCAGATACGTGGAAATGTTGGGAGAGCCCTAACGATGAACTCACGGAATACAGGCCGCCGTGGAATAACGATCAAGTGTTTTAAATCGAACGAGGGAAGACGAAGGTGGGCCGATGGGAATGAGAAAACCCTTTTTCACCCTTTACCTTGGTAGGTGAAGTTGCCCAAGTCGTGGAGTACAGGCGGTACAAAGTTAGTCCGCAACGAGCGAACGATACGTTGAATCGAACGAAGGAGAAGGAAGATAGGGGCCAATGAGAATGATAAAACGCTTCGATCGTTTCAATTTCGAATTGGTAGGTACGACATCGTAATTAAGAGGGAGGGAAGATATGGTGAATAGCCTATGGTGTTTTTCTGTTATACGACGCGGTATTAGCGAGGGGTAGTGAGAACCGCTTGCAAGCAGGGAAAGCGGCAACCCTCCCTTTTCGGAGACCTTCCTTTATTCATCCCCTAATGTAGGACCAGCGCGCGCGTACGTTCTCCTCTCGCTGTCACGACCACGGTATATAGGCTAGTGTATTTATCGTGAAAGTTGTACATGCAGCGTATATACGTTTATATCGTACAAAGGATACGCGGGCTACAAGACTCGCAGGACTCGTCCGTGTACGTGTGCACGTCGGCGCGCGCTATAAATGCATCGCGTGTTTGTGCGTGCGGCGTACAAACACCCATAGGCGCGCACCACCACTCGTATTTTCGCGGTTGCAAATGTTACACGGCGCGCCGTGAAACTGGGTCAACAATCGCGGGACTATTCTTCGGGAGCGACGTTTTTCGTGTAGCTACGATGCCGATCTTTTCTGCCTCCTTTTTTTTCTTTTTTGAAAAAATTTGTAGACGTTGATGAAGCGCTCGAATCGTTGTTCCAGTTGAGAAGTGGGGGAAATTTAACCACGTTCCAAGCACGCTGTAACGATAATTCTCGTATGAAAATTAGAAGCTATTAACATCCCTTTGAGTCTGTGCCAAAGCATTTTTTAATCAGAAGATATATTCGTGCGCAAATACCTGTACGTCTTATGCTTCGTTCAAATTGCTATTTTTCTATAAATTTCACATATAGATCCGTTCATTCGAACAGAGAACTGCGCATATACGTATCTTGTTTGAGATTTTTCTATGCAAGTTGCTTAAAATTTATGCATCGTACTTTACCACGATTATTATATGAACGTACTCTAGCATTGAATGTACACAGTATAGCGCTACTTCAAGTACAACGCTCAATGGTAATTGTAGGAAAATTTGCATTTAGAGGGTGATGGACAGATGAGCGAGTAGATCGTCATCTATCGGTGCAGACATGCATCAAAGGTAGTTTTCACCCTTTGTCCCCCTTTGTGCGACCCTCTCCATTATCAATGAATCGGGCACGTGGCCCCAAGCACAAATGGTACGTACGATCATGTTCGCGAAGGATAACGCTTATTCATCGTACTTTTCGGCCATCTACGATAAACGTCGTGTAGATTCTAGATCGCTGCTTCTCGTATTTCTTTCTCTCATTTAAAGGTCGTAAACTGACCCCCTGCCGTGGCCTGTTTCGCTCCAGTCTAGTCGCGATATACGCTGGCTTTCGGTTTTTCGTTGGCCGGCACGCGAACCACTATATACAATTTCAGTCTTCTGTTCTCTGGTATCGATTTTCGATCGTCTTATTCAAACGCGTCATCGTTTTCGAATCCTCTGACGAATCGTAACGATAGCGTAAAAATATATTCATCGCGTTTTATAACATTTTTTTCCAGCCTTCATAACGCTCTCGTTTCTGTATAATTGTTCCTTTTTACACTCTCTTTATATATCCGTCGATAACACGACGTGACAATTTTTCAATGGCATTTCTCTACAATTATGATAATTGTAAAAATATATCGCAACAATAATTAGCAATTCAAAGTGAAAGTAACGATACGCCATTTTTGTTCTGCGTGATCATTTCGTTTTATATTTCTGTTACATCAATCGATATATATGACGCAGCGATCAGGTCGTCTTTTTCTATAATTATTATTATTTAACGGTAAAAGTAAAGATTTTGTAACATTTGTTTCTTCAGTCCGAATTTAAATTCTTCCATGGTTGATTATTTCCTGAAAACATCCGACTACTTTAAGACAGTTTCAATATACTATTCTATCCAAAGTACATAGACGAGCATATAAAAATAAAACTAGCATGCAGCATACACGTAGCGAAACATAAAAGTCAAATCTGGATGCAACACGCGAAACGCGCTAGAAATTCAAATCCGTTTCAAAGCTATCAGATTTCTTAAATTTTTTTTTTTTTTTTTTACATATCGATAAAACGAAAAAGTAAAATCTTCGCCGTCTCGAAATTCTATTTAATTAAAAAATTAAAAAAGAAGAAAATTTTCTAATTTCGGAAACGCCAGGCCCGACAATCTCAGGTTTTTCAAAGTTCACGACGATGAGCGCCGGTTTACGAGTCCTTGAAACCTAAGTCTAACTGGCTTGCTCTCCGACAATCTTATCCGTTCGACGAGATAGCGTACCGCTAATCTGCCGCGGACTTTACACCGTTAAAGCTAGCTAGCGCTCAGACAGCTTCCAGGATCGTACGCGCGAAACTCGAAGTCGAATTCGAAGAAACGTCGCCGCTCGGCAAAGAAGATCTTGCGCCATATCGCGAAACGAAATTCGACGATTGCATAATTCATGGCTGAAACGAGGAACATTCTCGATTTCGAAAAATTTTCTGCCACAGCTAGATTCGACGAATGACTGGGCCGAAACGAACAAAGTCATTCCGAGCAGAGTTTATTCTCACGTGGAAGATATATTACGATTTTTCCCTTTCTTTTTATCGCTGAAATCCTATTAGATAATTTTATATCGTGCAAACTGTGAATAAATTTGTTCATAAATGTAGAGTAGCGTAAATGTGTCAGATTGAGATTGTTAGAATGTAATTTCTAATATAATTCAAATTATTTGAATAACTTGCTCGACTGCACTGATCGTGGAAAATTATCCAGAATATCATACCTATAAATAATACAGCACGTCGTTGATAAATGGACGGATAAAGAGTAGACAATATCTGGCGATAATATTATTCGTTAAAGAAATGTGAAAGCTGCTCGTCAATTCTATACGAAAAACGAAAATCTTTTATCCAAGGGTACGCTCGCTGGTTTCTCATTTATTTAAATATTCCCGACGGAATTGCGTTCGATAATCATAACACGGCAAGCTATATCGTACGCGTTGTTATTTCTTGGCCCGATACCGTGGTGCGCGACGTCGTTGTCGAGCTGTTTTTCGTAGTTGGCGATCTCGCCGGCAGGCGTCGCGTCGCTCGAGTCCCCTTTCGAAAATAACACACGGCCGGTTGACGTCATGTTGTCATGACTGCCGACCGCCGGCACCAACGTCGCCTCGATGTGTCGTTCTTCTGATGGCCGAGCAGCGCAGAAATTTCGCAGCAACGCGGCTCGATCACATTTATCCACTATGCAATTTCGAATACGAGGCGGAGCAAAATTACAATGCTTCCGCGATGCATCGCGTGACGATCATTTTTTAAACCGATACTCCTTCGACAAAACATAAAAGATAATATACTGCGAACTTATTTTACGCCTCGACTTTGCTCGTATCATTATCTCTTCCCTTTTTTCTTCCTCCTTCCACATTTGAACTTTTAATGTATTCGATCGTATTTCGTTCTTTCCGCGCGCTCCTTCCAAACGATTACCGAGTCTATTGCATTTCTTGTTGGTACGATCGAGTTATTGACCTAACCTCCAAAGAAGCAGAGCAATCGACTATTTTCCGCCGCTAAATATGCAAAGCTAATATCGTACCGAAAATTCTGGAGCATTTGAATTCAAAAATGCATTCAAGTATTCGATCTTACAGTATCATCGTTCCCATGTATTTGTATATGTCTAGCACGCACACATATAACCTTAGGAATGTACGACGCCACACACTGACTGGTTTTATCTACGGGGCTCCGAGTGGCTTGAGCGGGGCTTCGTGTGTGTTCGTTCTTTGGCTGACTAGATAGCTTTGACTCGTGTAGCAAACATTACCTCATCGTCAGGCATAGCCGGATCCACAACAAACCTCCTCTACTTTTGATTCTTCTCTGGTTCTGTGCTTGCTCGGGCTGGTCGTAGGAAATCAAATGGAGTAGAACTCATTCAAAGTAAACGTATTTGTCAATCTGTTATTCAAATTACAGACACGTGTCAATTACTGTATATACGTATGCCGAAAGAAATTTCTTTATTTCCCCTATTGAAAGCAATTATTTTTACCTTTGTTTACGTTATCCATTATTCATATTTTCATTTTTCCAATCTTTTTTACATGTCAAGTGGAATTTCGCTTGATTTTACAAAGAGTGACGCAAAAGCTGACTTTATTAATCTTCTCATGCGTATGCTTTAGCCAGTCTAGATAGGCTTCACGCAGTGAACATTATCTTATTGCGAGCACAGTCGTCATGAATCTTTTCTAGTTCTGGTACTTCTCTCACGTTTATTCCATTGACCTACATTCCTGACGATAAAACAGGAATTGGAGCAAATTTGTTTATAGAAACTCTGTCATCAAACTTTCTGTGTAATTTGTCGATATAATGACACGTATTTAACGATAATTAGTCGAAGGGATACTGTTATAAAATCCGACAAATTATTTCCTTTATTTACTCAAGTTAAACGTAATTTAACAAATTTGATAATTTATTTGTCGCGTTTCTCGATAAGTCGCTTAATAATAAGAATATTATAACGGATTATGATATTAGGAAATATACGCTATTTTGAACGTACTTCTATCTGATTAACCTCGAAATAACTTCTCTCCGCGAGTTAATTACGGCATTCACTGGTAGATGGCATTCGTGTGAAAAAATTCAACGTTATTTAATAAAAGTAAAAAAGCTGTTTCGAATACGAATAAAAGACGGGGAAGTGTGTTTGTAATTTTATAAAATTTTAGTACAAAAATATTTTCATTCCAAACACGTTCGTTATATTTTACAATCCAAAGCAATTTTCATTGACGCGATCGAATTATTCGAAATAGTTGCATCGTAAAAATTTCAAAGGAGAGATATAAAACGAATGAAAGCACTTACCCTCGGAAAATCAGTGGCACGATTCTCTAACTCAGATGAGGCTCGAAAGATTCTTCAGTTGCGAAAGTGAGCCGCGCGAACCGCAACCCTTAAATATTTCGTGAGAGGAAAAGAGAGTGGGATGAGGATGCTTCTTGACTTTGATTTATGGGCAGTTAAGAGCCGTGCATTTCTACCACACACAGTTAATCCGTTACGCGGTAACTCCCCGCAGCAACCACCCGGTGGCCGTCTTGATTCAACAAGTGCCCGGACCATGTTTCGCAAACATTGTTTGTAAGGACGTTGGTCGAATTCTTGAGCGCGTTCACTGAAATCTTCATCTCAAACGTTTCAATTAATACGGCCTAATGTAACTTAAGGAGATACAAAATCTACTGGCGACCTGAATAACACGGCTGATAAAGTAGAATTTCGCAAATAGAACATTCGGATTGGAAATTCGTCATCTTTCTTTTTTTCTGCGCTCTTCTATATCAATGAAATGAATTACTGTGTTTCAAAAAAAAAGTATAAGATAGCGCAAGTATTCCGAATATTATATCGTAGAACACATATGGTTGTAGCGTGACAAATAAGGATATTGGAAAAAGCATTGATCGACAAAGCGAGAATTACTTTCCTGAGAAAAATCACGTTTTCACCGTGATGGAAGGCGAAATCAAGCTTGCGGATACGAATCCGTCATTGTTTTCCCCGCGATTCCGTGAATCGTCTCTCGGAGAGCTCCGGGACTGGTCGACCCTGTTGGAAGGAGAACCTTCGCGAGCGAGTCGTATTCCAAGTAGGCCGCCGCGGCGGATGTACACTGTCGAGTCGAGATTGAGTCGTTGGCTGCTGTTGCTGCCGCCGCTGTACTAACTAGTTACTTCTAGAAATCTATAAATCGTTTCTAAGAAATCCTGCCTTTCTTCTTCTCAAGGGTTCTTGATGATGAAGTTATTTTAATGAAAGGTAATTTAATTTCTTGTACAGATAACATCATAATCGAAAAAGATATATTTAAACTCTTCGTTTTATTCGAAATTTCCATACTTTTGATACTATTAATCGAAAGTTTCATTAAAGAAAACGTTGAATCGCATTACTTACTTTATCATAACCACGGATATATATCATGAGCTCGCGGTATCGTCTCTGATGGCATTGCTCGTTTCCTCGGAACTTTTTTTCCCCTCCTTTTGTCACCGTTGTTCTTGCCAGTTGCACACGCGGCTCGTCGTATTGGCCGAACAACATAACGCATCGATTATCTGTTAAATGACGTTCACGCCACCGAGCATCCCCTACCCATAGGTCAGCTCTTCGTGACTTCCATTCCCTCCATTTCTGTTTTTGCTTTTTTTTTTCTCAAATCAAACGTCATGTGCAGACCACGTGGATCCGACAAAATGACGAACGTGTCGCTAGTGACATCCCACGGCAATACGTTCAACTAACTGCACTGTCAGCGATTCTCAACCACAACCACGTGATTTTTATCTCTCGAGTTTTTCGCGTCGCTCTCTTTGCCCCTTTGGTAGTCTTGCTTCAGTAAGCAAAAGTTGAGGGAGGGAGAGACGATTAAGTAAGTAAATACTTACTTTCACCCGTACAGTCGTTAAATCGGATGCGCGCGGATATAAATCATCGATGCTACGTGCTTTATCATTTTGTTTGGGGTTTCGTCGCATGGGTCGATCAAGTTTCTCATAGTTGGTATCACTGTGGATCGCACACAAGAGATATTTATTTATATATGTGTAAGCTCTATGTATATACATATTTTATTTTCATATAAAAGAAAGTAATGGAAAATATCTAGTTTTTATAATACAGTAGTAATATCACGCGTAAGACTTAGTATTAGAGGTAATAGGAAAATTAGTAATAGGAAAATCACTAATCAACCTCAAAATTGAAAATAATTTCGCTTTGATAAATTTAATGTGTTACTATATATGTACCTTTGAACGGATATGAAACGAAGGAAAAGGAAAACAAAGACGGAGGGAAAGATAAAATGAAGAGGAGTATTTCACAAGGGGCCCGCATGCTTGCTGATTGAACCCATGAGTAACAACACTCCCCTGTCCCCTTCGCCATTTGTGGCCCCCTTCTCTTCCATACCCACTCGATCATCCATTCCAACGATGACTTCTTCCAGGCTAGGGTAGGGAGATGCCTGACGTCATTCTCCAACGTCTGTCAGCGAGCCGACCCTCTGAGTCATGCAGTCATGTCGTTTTGCCTACACTCTTGTTTGTAACCGAGTATCGAGACTGGGCAAGGTCTTTCGCGATCATGTCACTAAGTTGTTATGAAGGGAAAATCCCTAGCCTATTCAAACCTTTCCCCGTTCGTAAAAACCTCAAAGTCCTATTTTTGTTTCCCATATAACAAGATTCGATTCTCGTTGAATATCTCTATCTAGTTTCATATTTGTTCCGATAAACGAATAACGTCGTTACCTGTATAATTTTACAACGCTTATTGCAAATATCGAACTGTGCTAGAAAAGGGAGACGTATGAAAATATATTATATTATTTTAAAGTATATAAAAACGAATTTGTACAGAGAGACTAATGTCACGTAATTTATCTATTTTTAGAGTTGTGCAATGATGGGTCTGCAGGCCACGGCAGGAAAACGTAAACTGGAGGGAGGTGTGGGCTGCATGGAGTTCGACATGGATATGGGCGAGAGCCCATCGAAGTTAGGCCGGGTGGAGGGTAGCTGGTGGGCGATGGAGGATAGTTACACGCCCCCGCTGAGTCAAACGCCGGCTTCTTATTACGATATGGAAGTGAGTTCGCCCTGCCTGCAGACAAATCCCTGTCAGCCGACATCGGCAAGTCAGCAGCAACAGCAACAACATCAGGCGGCACAGCAACAGCAGCAGCAACAGCCGCAGTCGTCGACGCCAACGTCAGCGCCACCGCC